CAGACTTGGCATTTCAACCATCAGCAACATAGTTAAAAATGTATGTATAAGTATCTGGGAAGTAATGTTAACGGAGTGTATACCTCTCCTTAATAAAGAAAAATGGGAATCGATTACTAAAGAATTTGAGACACGARCCAATTTTCCACATTGCCTAGGAGCGGTCGATGGAAAACACATCAGAATTATTAATCCCCTAGGTTCCATGTATTATAATTACAAAGGCTATTCATCTGTAGTTTTAATGGCCGTAGCTGATGCTAATTATCGCTTTGTATATGTCGACATCGGGAGTTATGGAAAAGATTGTGACTCGTCTGTATTCAAAAGGTCATCATTATGGACATCAGTTATAAATAATAAGCTAGAAATACCTATTGAAACAAATGTAACCGGAATAGAAAATCACAAGTTACCTTATTTCTTCGTTGGAGATGAGGCATTTGCGCTCCACAAACATTTACTTCGCYCTTTTGGTGGATCGCAACTTACAGAGAAAAAAAGGATTTTTAATTATCGCCTARGTAGGGCTCGGAGATATGYAGAGTGTACTTTCGGAATTTTGAGCAACAAGTGGAGGATATTTCAMAGACCAATTAACTTGGAACCYGACTTTGCAGTTATAATTGTCAAAGCTTGTGTCATTCTTCATAATTTTGTTCGAGACAGGGACGGATATCAAGTTGAGGACACAGAAGTAATAATAGGTCTTGATGAATTACAAAGAGAACAGGAGACACGAGGAGGATTAGCAGCTAATAATGTCCGCAATGTGTTATGTGATTATTTTACATCAAATGCAGGGGCTTTGAAATGGCAAATGTTAAAAATATAGACATTATACTTAAATATAATTAATACTGTTTNCTTTCCAGGCATTTTTTGTTTCAATCCTGTCTTTATATATATTAGATGTTTTATCCCACAATACTGGACGAACTTCTACAAGTGAGATTAATAAATCGACATCCATAATAATTGTTAGTATTGTATGTAATCGTACAACATGCAGAATGACAGAAAAAAATGAATTGACTGTGCCGTGTGTACGTCCGTGCCGTGTATGTGTGAATGGTATCGTAATATGCAATGCATTACTGAGCCGTGACGGAACTTTGAACCGTGTGGACTCGCACGGACGCAACACGGACACGGCACGGTCGAGATAACGTGTGAAACCTTYTATAAATAGCCATACATTAGTGAACCGTCGAAAAACCGTTTACACGGAAACCGTGTGTGTGTGAAAAGGCCCATAGTGTCAATAATCAAGTGCAGCAGACAGCAGTACGTGCCGTTCTGTGTTCGCGTAATTAACGAATAACGTTTACATTTAATATTATTTTACACGATGGACATAAGAAAGTTTTTTGGTGGTAAGTACATATCTTGTTTTAGAATTATAAATAGTTCAAGTACAAAGTCTTTTACATAAATTATTATGTATTATTGTATTGTGACCGCCGCCTGCCGCAACTATGATATTAATGTATAATAAATGCTGCAAAATAATATTGAGAATTAGTTACACAGATACACTAACAAATATTATCACCAGGGCTTGGAACTTTGCATATCATTCAAAATCTGATTCGATACAAATTCGTTTCATAATCCATACAATTGAATTACAAAAATTTATGTTTAATATTTTACTAAATTTAAAAAAAATTTAAAATTTTTAATAAAATAAATAAATATTTTTTTATAAAAATTTTAAGCATATCAACGCATATTTTATATTAAAAGAAAAAATGTTTAGAGAGTTCACAGCACGCGGCTCGCACGAGTGGATTTCGATTTTACCAATGTTGCTTGACGAATATAACAGTTCGCGACATAGAACGATAGGAATGACTCCGACGCAAGCAGATTTAAATCCTTTATCGGTTACAATAAAACAACGTGAGATTAATAACGTAAAAA